TTTATTTAAATAAACCTTAATAGTCTATGCATTTTCTTAATTATTTTATTATTTTATTATTATTATTGATATTAATTATACAGTTTCTCATTAATCCCATATAGGTAACTGTCCAATTATTTTCCTAATTGGACAGGTCTTGTTGATATGGGATTAATTAGGCAGCTATATAATTAATAGGTAATGGGATTTCATGCTCCCCAATCAAGAAATAATTAGACTCAAAAAATTCCTCTGACTGCCAAATTAGACTGGGCTTACAGCCTCATCCAATTTTGTCAGTCCTCGGAATTTTTCTTGTCCAATTATTTCTTAATTGGACAGCATGGAGTCCTATTACATTTACTAATAATATTATTATTATTAATTATAACATTTTCTTAATTATTTTATTATTATGTGTAGAAACAGTTGAGGAAACCTGCGAAGCGTCAGGTGGTGGAGAATCTGTGAATCATGAGGCAGATCAACCAGTCAACCCAACAGAACAAGAGGTTATTGGCTTACTATTGGCTCAGCAACATGTGTTCTCTAATGGAAATGCCGAAGCTGAATCTGTCAAAGCAGTTGCTATGGTACCAAGTGAAGTGCTTCAAGATGAGACTGTTGTAGAAGAGGTAAGAATCCTTGAAGTTTCGGCATCCCAGGGGGTACTCTTGTCCGTTTAGGGTAGGGATGTGCCGCTGAGCCCTCTGAACTCTGACCCTGTTCCAGAGTAAAATCGCTGAAATTCATACCCTTTTCCAGAGCAAGATATGGCTGAAAACCATACCGGTATTGCGAAAATGGATACCCTGTTCCATAGAGGAGAGAGCGTGATTTCATATACCCTGTCCCAGAGTAAGCACGATTTTATATACCCTGTTCCAGAGTAGAATAGCTGAAAACAAAAAAAAAAAGATTAGTTACTTGCTCAGCAAAGGAAAAAACTAAACAAAGTAGCAATAAGACACATCAGACTTTGTAAAACTTAACTTTGAAAGTGAAAGTATTATAGGGCTCGTCTAGATCTTGCAATGTATATTCTAAAGAATTCCATTTGTTTTTGATATAGGTAACTGAGCAATCTAATATTGACAACAAACCAGACCATGAGATCATTGTTGGTCAGCAGTGTGAACAGGAGAGTGCAACAGCTTCAATCATGGAAACTGTACAACAATCTAGCGAAGGTAAATAGCTGCAATAAAGAGGATTGAAACTTTTTTTTTAAAGTCTAAATTCTACTGGGACTCTACAGAGTACAATTTGGGATTTAATTGTACTCCTGTTGTCAAATAATTTTGTTGAATGTATTATAATGAATTATGAAATAGCTTTTTATAAATCTCGCGTTGTAATTGATTGGGGAGGGTGTGCTTTATGAGAGCACACAGCGAGCATGAGCACTTTTAGTTGCATCATTCCTTTTTAAAATAACGGTTATTGTAATTTGTATTTCATAAAAGAAACAAAGATTAACTTGTTTGCTGTGCTGTGTGCTCTGCTATACCATATACATCTCCTAACACTTCTCTCGTGTTCTTCCAACCCCCTCTGGCTTTATGACTGCAAACAGGCTGCATACACATGCATTTTCTATTTCTTCATTATATTACTTTTGTTTCTGTGTATATATATGTATACATTATACCTAATTTTCTCCTTTCTTATATTTATACTTTTAGGTTTTTAATCACAGATTTTAGTATAGATTTTACTATAGATTTTATTTAGATTTTCATTGATTTTATATTGCTGATCAGTGGTTTATACCAGCTGTTCTATCGTGTCCAGCTGATCGGTTTTTTTTAATTAGGATAAATTGGGATATTATTATCATCATCATCATCATCATTATTATCATTATTATTATTATTGTTATTAGTGTGTTATGAGTGGGGAGTTGACTAGCTGGCCCAAAATTAAATTTAAACTTTTGAAAAATTTATTATAAATTATAAATAACTTGATGTGTCTCCACAGATCACAACCAGCAAAACACTGACAGCTTTGTGCCTGTCCAGTCCAGCCTGGCTGCATCAGATCTTGTACAGTCAGTGGTTGTCAGTACAGCAGGGGGTGCTGTCTACCTTGAGCAACAAGCTATAGCATTGACAGAGCTTCCTGCCGGAGTACATGCTATTCCTGCAACAGGATTTGAAGGAGGTTGGTACATGTGTACAGTAATGATATTAATATTATATTATTATCATCATCATCATCATCATCATCATCACCATCACCATCACCACCACCATCATCATCATTACCACCATCATCATCATCATTGTAATCATCATTATCACTGCAATCATCATCGTCATCAGTCTCCTACTCCCCCTCCCCCTCCTCCTCCTCCTTATCATCATCATCACCATCACCCCTTGCAACATCATCATTGTAATCATCATTATCACCACAATCATCATCGTCATCAGTCTCCTCCTCCTCCCCCTCCTCCTCCTCCTCCTCATCACCATCACCTCCTTGCAACATCATCATCATGATGATCATCACCATTACCACCTTGCATCATCATCATCATCAGTCTCCTCTTCCTCCTCCTCCTCCTCCTCATCATCATCACTTCATCATCACTTTGCATCATCATGATGATGATCACCATCACCACCTTGCATCATCATCATTGTAATCATCTCCATTATTATCATCACCATGCATCATCATCATCATCATCTATTATTACCACCCTCAGCACTCTATACCAACATGATAATCATCGTCACTAACCATTTATTGATAAAAATAATAACAAAACAATGATTAAATTTATAGCAACTTATGTGCACCAAACATCCGATGGCACAAGCTACGTTATAACCTCCGAGGGCGCTACCTTTGAAGCCCCTACATCGGTTACCATGGGCAACATTGAATCGAGTTCTTCAATGGTAACGACGACAGGAGAGACAGTAGATCATAGTGGAATCCTGGAACAATATGCCCAGGTGCATCAGGGTAGCCAATCAGAGCATGGCGACCATGCAGGTACTTTGTACGTGCTGCATGAGGACCCAGATTCCCAGGATTCACTCGACCAAGAAGCACAGGTAGGGATTGGTAACTAGGTCTTTTTATGTGTTATTTTATTCATTAATTATTAGTTTGTTTATTTATTTTGCTCGGATGACCACATTGAATAGTAGTCCTGTCTAACTTAGGCCCCGTCCACACGTATCCGGAAATTTTTGTATCCGCAATTTTTTTTTTGCGGATACGGGTTGCGTCCACACGTGTACGGAAATTTTTGTATCCGTATCCGGAAATATTCGAAAACGGTCTCCAGAGTGGAAATTTTCGAAAACGCTCCGAATACGGATACGAGTGGACGGTCGTATCCGCAAATTTTCGAATACGATGACGTAAACACGATTTTGCGCATGCTCAATAAGAAARACTATCCGTCAAAGGGACTAGGCACTAGCGTGCATCAGGGCGGATCATGAAATTTCCGGATACGTGTGGACAGTGAAAACAATTCAAAAACGATTCCAATACGCTGCGTGTGGACGCGAACATTTTTGTATCCGCAAATAAATTTCCGGATACGTGTAGACGGGGCCTAAGATTTTGGTAAAAGCGTCGGTCTGTTAGTGTGGCTGGTCGTGATTCAAGCCTCGGCTGGACCAACACTCCAAGGGTCTTACTGCAGTTTTTCATTTTCTGTGGACTCAGACATTCCAACGACTTGTAGTGAAATGGGTTTTTCGCTACCGTCTATCAAAACTAATTAGTCGGTACCTTTCATGTTTCCGATTGACGGCTGCGTAGAACCCATTTCACAACAAGTCGATGGAATGTCTGAGTCCACAGAAAATGTAAAGCCGCAGTAAAATAACTAAGGAGAAGGATCTGTCTCACAGGAAAAAAAAACGGATTCCCAAATTGGGAATTGTTGGGAATTTCCTTCTAATACCCAATAGAAAAACAAAATTCCCAACAAACTAACATTGGGAATCAGTACCACGTTCCCAATTTCGTTCTCTCTGAGAATTGGATGGGAATTTGTTGGGAGTTCAAGGAAACTTCCAACAAATTCCCAATTTGGAAATCCGGGATTTTTTCCCTATGTCTTTGTAATTACATATGCAAGTGGTTAGACCTTCAAGTCTTCTCGGACAAGGACTTAAAACCGTTGGCCCCGTCTGTCTTCACTATATAACCCTGTATGAGGCGGACGTAAAAGATCCACTGAAGATGCCGGTGACGACCATCTTCAGTGCGCAAGCTAGCACTACAGGGTCCATAGTACGTTGGTAAAGGCTATTGTGGTGTCCCTGCCCTCACGGGACAGACAAAATATATATTAGTATAGAGGCGAGTGTAATTAAAGAACTTTCAAAACATTACGAGTGTCTATTAATTCCAAATTGTACGAGAAGATCGTGCGATTTTTTGTTTACAGTTCACTCAACAAAATTTCAGTAAAAAATGCGAAGCAACGGCCGTTCATCTTTGTCTATTTGGCGGCCGATTTTCAGTCCATCGCGCAACTGAAATGCATAAAAAAGATCAGTTCTTATTAGTTTTTGCGGGGTTTTTTTGCTGTTGACATTTTTTTTGGCCGTGTTTCCATAGCGACTTAATTCGATACTCCTACGGAGTACCATTAACGCTATAATTGTACTCCTCTCGACCAATCAGAGTCGAGTTATTTTGTTGAGTGTACTATAAATATAATAATTTCTATTTTTCAGGCAACTCCTAAAAAGATCTACCACTGTAGTATTGATGGTTGTGGCAAGCAGTTTTCAACAACCTATCGCCTCAAGGCTCATGGTCGCAGCCATACTGGTGATACATTCCGATGCGAAGAGGAGGGGTGCAATAAATCATTTATAACACATAGTGACCTAACGAAGCATGTCAGGACACACTCTGGAGAAAAGCCGTACAGATGTGACCACGAGAACTGTGGACGAGTTTATACTACAGCACACCACCTCAAGGTAGATAACAGGACAGGGATTTATCATTCACGTGTTGAATTAAGCATTTACCTCCAGAGAAATGCTTCCTGTTAAAATTGTTACAAATGTTGAATTACGCGTTAATTTTTCGTATCACGATGTTTATATATAGCCGTTTGCATTGCTACGCGGCCACCCCAGACAAAAATCGCGACGTGCACTTTGCAATAGACTGCCGTCAATCGAACACGTTGACGTCATTTACAGGCGTGTGTGATTCAAAAGGCGCCAAAACTTGTCGATTGTTTACAAGTATTATGAGCCACACTCACCGGGCCTATCCGGGCCGATCCAAACGCGTGTAAATGACGTCAACGTGTTTGATTGACGGCAGTCTGTTGCAAAGTGCACCTCGCGACTTTTGTCTGGGGTGGCCGCGTAGCAATACAAATGACGGTAAGGCGTGTTAAATCCTCCGTCTCGCTGCGTCAAAGCAGCTCAATAGACCCCTTGCATATGACATCAAAGCAGCTCAATTTGGAGGACAAAACAAAATAATTTCAATCTCCTGAGAATTGGAAATCCATTATGTCCTCCAAATTAAGCTGCATTCCGGAATGGCTAATTAATAGTCTGACTTTTTATTTAATTGACAGGTCCATGAACGAGCGCATACCGGAGAAAAGCCTTTCAAATGCACATTTAATGACTGCAACAAAGCCTTTGCAACTGGTTATGGTCTGAAGAGTCACACACGAACACATACTGGTGAAAAGCCATACAAGTGCCTGCACGAGGAATGTGGCAAAGCATTCAAGACATCAGGCGATTTGCAGAAACACATCCGTACCCACACTGGTGAGATATGACAAACTTTAGTCATGAAATACGATGAGGGGGTAAAACATTTGACTAAAACTCGTAAACTACCCTTTCCCCCTTTTTTGTTGGGCTACGTGGATTTGGCGGGAATTTTCGCGCCAAAACGCGCGTGTGCTCGTCTTATTTAACATCAAATTATGCACAAATACCAGTGGTAAAGTAAAGAATGCACGACTTGAACCTACGTAACAATACAAACACTATGAAACTTCACCGAAATTTAAAACTGGAGTATTTAAACGTCTCCCAAACTTTTCTTTCTTTTCTTTTCTTTCCTTTCCTTCGTTGGCAATGAAATTTTTTATTTATTTTTGAAATAGGTGTATACAATTTTGTTTCACGGACCAGTAAAATCACTTTATGACCCTAGCGACGATAGTAGGCACATTAGTAGCACACAACACCGGTGCTTCCCAAACTTTCCTTTCCTTTCTTTTCCTTTTCTTTCCTTTCCTTCGTTGGTGATTTTTTTTTTTTTTTTTGTTTTTTGTTTTTTGTTGAAATAGGTGTACACAAATTTGTACACAACTTGTTTAACGGACAAAGTAAAATCAGTTTACTAGGCACATTAGCACACAACACCGGTACTTCTCAACAGTATTATACTGGAGCATCTCTATGTTTTGTTTGCTTTAGGAGAGCGTCCATTCAAGTGTCCGTACGAAGATTGTGGTCGTGCTTTCACCACCTCGAACATACGTAAGGTTCATATGCGTACACATACCGGCGAAAGACCTTACATTTGCGAAGCTACTGGATGTGGACGGGCATTTGCTAGTGCTACGAACTTCAAGAATCATTCCCGTATTCACACCGGTAAGTCAATAGAAGTTTTGCATCATCACGTGACGGCAGCCATGTTAGTTTTGCATGAGAAAGAATTTCCGAGAGCAAAGGGATTTTATTTGTTCTGCCATCTAACCACAGGCAGTCCAAGTTGTATTATAAGCGTCGGCATGTGATGGTGCAAAGCCTAAACAGACCAATAATTCCTGTCACTGGGTTAAACGTGCGGTGCGACTTGCCGTTATGGCTATTTGGGTAACAGAGCAAATATTCCTGTCACTGGTTAAAAAAGTCACTGTACGGCCGTGACGTGACGTTTTATGACCGTGACAGTCACGCCATAGCTATTAAGGTTAGAGCAAAAAACGGCTTAATGCCTAACAGGTTTCACAACTCAGTTGATCGAATTAGAATTCAGTGGAAATAGGAAAAATCGTAGAAACCGGAGGAAAAACCCTCGAAGCACAGGAGAGAACCAAATAACAACTCTACTCACATATGACACCGAGACCGGCAGGGCTCGAACCCGGGTCGTATTGATGGTTTTCACGGCAGCCATGTTGGAGGAACTTAACAAGCGCTATTCTTTTGTTATATACTCCAACATGGCCGTCGTGTCTTTTATTATTTAATTCTCTTGAGAAATGATTGTTGAAAACCATCAATTGGTGAAAGGCGGCGCATGCATTAGTAGCCCACACCACCCGTGTTTCCCGACCGTGACTTGACGTTTCGTGACAGTCACGCTATGGTCAATTGGATTATTGGTCTAAATTGGAAATGCTACTTTTCAGGTGAGCGCCCTTACTTGTGTCAAGTTCATGGCTGTAACAAACGCTTCACCGAGTACTCTAGTCTGTACAAGCATCACGTGGTACACACCCATAACAAACCGTACACCTGTAATATATGCAACAAGACCTATAGACAGACATCTACTCTAGCCAATCATAAGCGCACTGCTCACGGAGAAGTGGAAGGTAAGGGATATGACACTAAAGAAAAACGTTTGCGCATGCGTGCATTTCAGCACGTTTTCTAAGAATTTTGAAGAGTTTGAGTGAGAAAATAAATGTTTGTTTTCTCCAAGTATACTAAAAAGTTCGAGAGTATACTTTTGTCAAACCAAGATACTGTATTAAGAAACACAATATGAAAGAATTAGCCTTAAGTTTCAAGCATGGACACTAAGTTTTGGTATTTTGTGAAATCCAATTTATCAGGCATGTTTGAAAGTCAAATTTCTTACATATGTTTTGACTAATTTGCACACGGATTCAGAGCATGCGCAGACGTTTTTCACTCGTGTCGTATACCATATATCCGTTAAAAACTTTGTAAGAAATTGCATAAATTTGAATAAATTAGTACGTTCAGTATTCCTCAGTAGATTGTAGACCTACAAAACTTTGCTCTAATTTGTACAATTCTGTTAACTTTTTCACGGACATAAGGTAGGCACTCTAATAATCCGTAATTTTAAAATGTAAAAAAAAGGTAAAGGTTATTTATTTTACTTCAATAACGCGGGGAGTGGTTGCCCAAGTCTCCCAAGCATAGGGCTCATGTTTAATGCTCTCGAAGGTGCGCCCTCTACCCCCCTCTTACTATCAGTGCTCCTTTGTACGGGTACCATTTAAAGCTAATTAAAGCTACACAGAACAGAGAGAAGTCGAAACAGACGTGGAGTTCCTGAGGATCGAACTATGGACCTCTAGCTCTGAAGGCCACGCGCTAACCAACTGAGCTACGCCTGCTCCTTGAAATACAAATAATGTATCACAAATAATCCGTAATTCTTTATTCTAGTGACCAATAATCTGTATCCCTTTTCCAAAAACCCCTAAAAATCTACATTCCTGAACCCCTAACAGGTCCTCATTGTTTTCTCTTTTGATTAGATTTTGATGAAGACGGTTCGCCCGCAAGCAAGCGTCAGCGGATACAGTACACAGAGATGCCAGGTCACCACGCCTATGCCCAAGTAGTGACAGACGAACAATCAGTAGCTGCTATCCAAGCAATGGATGGCACACTGGCCGATATGCAGCAAATCACTGAAGGCACACAGATAACCATTCCGGTTGCCATAGCAACAGAGTCGGGTATTGAAGTGCATGACGCGCGTGGCTTACAGCATTCGATCGCGTTGTCAGAAGGTGAACAGATCCCAGCCACTCACATGGTCGATGGCAATGGTCATGAGATTGACATCGTCTCATCTCCAAACACAGTCGTTGTGACGTCGTTAGAAGGCGGGGCCATCGTGACTCAGGCAGGTGGAGAGACACAGAGATACCAGGTAGTTCATACTGGGCTGCCTGGCGAGGAAGGCGTGACGGAGGTCGTACATGTGCAGATGGTGAAGGAGGGAAGCGAGGAGATCGCACAAGAAAATGCTGATCGAGAAAACGCTGAAAATATGGAAGGAGGTAATTAATATATTACGATAGGTAATAACAGTTAAAATAGTACTGCGATTAGTATTATCCCTCACCATCATTATCATCTACCATCAACAGCCAAAAACAAACACCACCACCACCTCCAACACAGAAACCCCCCCCCCAACAACAACAACGACAACAATACAACAACGTCATAATCACCATCACTATATCGATATATTGTACCATAAAGTGGCTCTTCTTCCACTGGATTTCAAGTGGAATTTAGAAGTAAATTTTTGCGGCGTATGGAAAAATCAGAAAACTTTATCGAATCACAGGAGAGAACCAATAAGCAACTGTAACAGGTGATCTCGCGCAGTCACTTCCGTTTACTATTAACCAATCAGAAGCATTTTTGTTTCATCGCTAAAAGTTTCATGATGGCTTCAAAATGGAGTCGTATTTCGAGTTCACCTTTTTGAAATACGTCCTGATATATTACTTTACTTTGAATAATTCTACGTTACATGTACCAGAAAAGCTTCCTCTTGCTCTATCGGGAACTAAAACTAATAAAAGCAAAGCATAAATGTAATAAAAGTAAGCGAGATCGGCGTTGCCTTGATTGGTCACCAGCCGCCATTTTGATTACCGTGAGATATCATGAAATAGGAGGCCAGACTACCTGGTACTCACATACGAGACCGGCATCAGATCATCATGATTGCTATCATCAAAATTGCCCTATTTCACTATGACGTCACATCAAAACAATCTATTGTTTAAACGCAAAGGATCATGGTCGTCGGAGGGGGTCAAATCAACGCAAATTCACCGAAAAT